TGGAACGTTAATGTTAAACGACCCTGAATTATACAATGAGAAAGCATTCTTTTTTCAATCTTTTTCAACTTGAAAGGGCTAATTTGGTGCTAACATGTCCTTAGTGCCGTTCTAACACTTTCTAATCTGCCTTTTTTTTTTTTTTTTTTTTGAGATGGAGTCTTGCTCTGTCACCCAGGCTGGAGTGTAGTGGTGTCATCTCGGCTCACTGCAACCTTTTTTTTGTTTGTTTGTTTGTTTTTTGAGACGGAGTCTCGCTCTGTCGCCCAGGCTGGAGTGCAGTGGCGCGATCTCGGCTCACTGCAAGCTCCGCTTCCTGGGTTTACGCCATTCTCCTGCCTCAGCCTCCTGAGTAGCTGGGACTACAGGCGCCCGCCACCGCGCCCGGCTAATTTTTTGTATTTTTAGTAGAGACGGGGTTTCACCGTGGTCTCAATCTCCTGACCTTGTGATCCGCCCGCCTCGGCCTCCCAAAGTGCTGGGATTACAGGCGTGAGCCACCGCGCCCGGCCGTCTCACTGCAACCTTTACCTCCCCAGTTCCAGTGATTCTCCTGCCTCAGCCTTCTGGGTAGCTGGGATTACAGGTGTACACCACCACGCCTGGCTGATTTTTGTATTTTTAGTAGAGACAGGGTTTCACCATGTTGGCCAGGCTGGTCTGCAACTCTTAACCTCAGGTGATCTGCCTGCCTCAGCCTCCCAAAGTGCTGGGATTACAGGTGTGAGCCACCGTGCCTGGCCTAATCTGCCTTTTAACACAGAGATTTAGGCCTCAAATTTAGAGCCTTTGGTAGGCAATACCATCCATTCATCCAGAATTCACTAACAATGTTTAACTTTCCCCCTTTTTTTTTTTCCTTTTTTTTTCTTCGTTTTTCTTTTTTTTTTTTTTTGAGATGGAGTCTCGCTCTGTCGCCCAGGCTGGAGTGCAGTGGTGCAATCTTGGCTCACTACAACCTCCGCCTCCCAGGTTCAAGTGATTCTCCTGCCTCAGCCTCCTGAGTAGCTGGAATTACAGGCGCGTACCACCATGCCCAACTAATTTTTGTATTTTTAGTGGAGATGGGATTTCACCATGTTGGTCAGACTGGTCTTAAATTCCTGACCTGAGGTGATCCACCCTCCTTGGCCTCCCAAAGTGCTGGGATTACAGGTGTGAGCCACCATGCCTGGCCAACTTTACATATTTTTATAGTTACCTTCTATTTATAGCAAGTGATACTAGTTTTCTATCATAATTATATACAATTGACCCTTGAACAATGCAGGGGTTAGGGGCACAAACTCTTTACACACAGTCAAAAATCCTTTTTTCTTTGAGACAGGGTCTTATTCTGTTGCCCAGGCTGGAGTGCAGTGGTAAGATCACAAGTCACTGTAGCCTTGATATCCCAGGCTCAAGCGAATCTCCTACCTCAGCCTCCCGAGCATCTGGGGCTACAGGAGCACACCACCACACCCCAGTTAATTTTTGAAAATTTTTTGGCCGGGCGCGGTGGCTCAAGCCTGTAATCCCAGCACTTTGGGAGGCCGAGACGGGCGGATCACTAGGTCAGGAGATCGAGACCATCCTGGCTAACACGGTGAAACCCCGTCTCTACTAAAAAATACAAAAAACTAGCCGGGCGAGGTGGCGGGCGCCTGTAGTCCCAGCTACTCAGGAGGCTGAGACAGGAGAATGGCCCGAACCCGGGAGGCGGAGCTTGCAGTGAGCTGAGATCCGGCCACTGCACTCCAGCCTGGGCGACAGAGCGAGGCTCCGTCTCAAAAAAAAAAAAAAAAAAAAAAAAAGAAAATTTTTTGTAGAGATGAGGTTTCATCATGTTGCTCAGGCTGGTCTTGAATTCCTGGACTCAACTGATCTGCCTGCCTCAGCCTCCCAAAGTGCTGGAATTACAGGTGTGAGCCACCGTGCCTGGCCTTCATGGTATTTTTGACTCCCCAAAAACTTAACTACTAATAGCCTACTGTTGGCCAGAAGAAAGCCTTACTGATAACATAAACTGTGGATTAACACATCTTTTTATGTTATATGTATTATATACTGTACTCTTATAATTAAGTAAACTGGGCATGGTGGCTCATGCACATAATCCCAGCAGTTTAGAAGGCAGAAGCAGCAGATTGCCTGAGCTCAGGAGTTCAAGACCAGCCTGGGCAACACGGCAAAACCTCGTCTCTACTAAAAATCCAAATATCTGCCAGGCATGGGGTGCACACCCATAGTCCTAGCTGCTTGCGGAGCTGAGGCAGGAGGATCACTTGAGCCTGGGAGGTTGAGGTTGCAACGAACCGAAATGGTGCCACTGCACTCCAGCCTGAGTGACAGCGCGACACCCCATCTCTAAAAAAATAAAAAAAAAAAAAACAAGTAAGCTAGGGAAAAGAAAATATTATTAAGAAAATTACTGGATAAGTAGAGATTGATTATAAGAAAACATAAGGAAGTAAAAATGCATTTACAGTGCCATACTGTATTTATTGATACCATAAGTTTACTCCATCTGTTTACAAGATGTATTGTCTGTCTGAAATAGTAAGCAACCGAAGCTGCAGAGCTCCACCTGTGGCACCACCTACTATACAATGAGAAAGGATTCTTTTTTCAATCTTTTTCAACTTGAAAGGGCTAATTTGGTGCTAACATGTCCTTAGTGCTGTTCTAACACTTTCTAATCTGCCTTTTTGCTTGAATCAAGCAATTCAAGCAACTTTTTCTTGTAATGTCATGACTCTTCTCTGCTTCTTGGGAACACTTCCAGAATCACTAGTAGCACCTAGTATGGGCCCTTGGTACTACTCAAGGCTTACAATATTGCATTAAACACATTGAAAAATACACGAGAACCTTGAGGGATCACATTTTACTGCAATATGTCATTTACTGGTGAGACTCCTTGTGCAGAGATGATTAGCTCACAGAGCGTTTTAAGCACGTACTCACAACACCAGAGCACGCTGCAGTGGCAACAGGAGGTAGCTTCACAATTATGATGGTAGTACAGTATGTACTACAGTTGTTTATGCAGTTATGATTTAATACTGCATCTTTACATTTAGTTATATTTCTATTTTGAATGGCATCATGTACTGTCTGTGTATTGTATATGTTTTGGGCAATTTTAATTTTTTATAATAGATTTATGTATATTTTATGGTAGCAAGTGGTAAAATAGACTAGTATCTACATATATTTTATGCATTAATGACATACTTTTTTTCATTTTAAAAAATATTTCTAGGTAACAAGATTCACCTGTTTTTTCCTAATTGTCAGTCTTTAAAAAATTTTTTCCGATTTAAAAAATCAGCTGGGCATGGTGGCTCACCCCTGTAATCCTAGCACTTTGGTAGGCTGAGGCAGGCAGATCACCTGAGGTCAGGAGTTTGAGACCAGCCTGGCAAACTTGGCAAAACCCCATCTCTACTAAAAATACAAAAACATTAGCTGGGCATGGTGGCATGTGCCTATAATCCCAGCTACTCGAGAGACTGAGGCATACTCGCCAGGTGAGGGTTGCAGTGAGCCAAGATCACGCTACCGAACTCTGGCCTGGGCAACAAGAGTGAAAACTGAAAACTCCATCTCAAAAAAAAAAAAAAAGAAGGCTGGGCACAGTGGCTCACGCCTGTAATCCCAGCACTCTGGGAGGCTGAGGTGGGCAGATCACAAGGTCAGGAGATCGAGACCATCCTGGCTAACATGGTGAAACCCCATCTCTACTAAATATATAAAAAAATTATCCAGGCGTGATGGTGGGCATCTGGGAGGCTGAGGCAGGAGAATGGCGTGAACCTGGGAGGCGGAGCCTACAGTGAGCTGGGATCACGCCACTGCACTCCAGCCTGGGTGACAGAGCGAGACTCCATCTCAAAAAAAAAAAAAAGAGAAAATAAATAAAATAATAAATGTATAAGTGGACCCATGAGTTCAAACCCATGTTGTTCAAGAGTCAATTGTATTTTTTAAGTTTTAATTTTTTTTGTTGTTGTTTTGAGACAGAGTTTCACTCTTGTCACCCAGGCTGGAGTGCAATGGCTCAGGCTCACTGCAACCTCAATCTCCCGGGTACAAGCAATTCTCCTGCCTCAGCCTCCCAAGTAGCTGGGATTACAGGTGCCCACCACCACGCCTGGCTAATTTTTGTATTTTTAGTAGAGACGGGGTTTCGCCATGTTGGCCAGGCTAGTCTCAAACTCCTGACCTCAGTTGATCTGCCCATCTTGGCCTCCCAAAGCGCTGGGATTACAGGCGTGAGCCACCGCATCCGGCCTAAGTTTTAATTTAATTTTATTTTATTTATTATTATTTTTTTTATTTTTATTTTTTTTGAGACGGAGTCTCACGCTGTTGCCCACGCTGTTGCCCAGGCTGGAGTGCAGTGGCGCAATCTCGGCTCACTGCAAGCTCCGCCTCCCGGGTTCCCGCCATTCTCCTGCCTCAGCCTCCTGAGTAGCTGGGACTACAGGCGCCCGCCACCGCGCCCGGCTAATTTTTTGTATTTTTAGTAGAGACGGGGTTTCACCGTGGTCTCGATCTCCTGACCTTGTGATCCGCCCGCCTCGGCCTCCCAAAGTGCTGGGATTACAGGCTTGAGCCACCGCGCCCGGCCAAGTTTTAATTTTAAATAAATATGTTAAATAAATAGGTGGAACTCAGATGTGGCAAAAGTTGTAAATGTGGTTCTGAAATGAGGTTTCGGAAACACCACATTCATCCAAAAGTATGAGTGATGGTGAAATTTCAGGCAGGGGCTAACTAGAAGAGGAAGCTGCTTTTCATAATCTATTTTGCTCAGTGGACTTCAGCTCCCTGGGCTTCTGTGGGTGTCTGGCTCAGAGCTGAAGCCAGGAAGTCTTTAGTAGCTTTCAGTTTCTTTTGTTAATAGAGGCCTGAAAAATCTCTCATTTAGTTCCCAGCCAGAGCTTGGGGGTCCTCCTTCTGTAAGTCCAGTCTCACCCCAACAGTGAGAACTCCCAGAACTTCCCTGCCCTTACCTTAGAAGATCTCTTCTTTTCTGCTTCTTTTCTGCTGATCTCTTTGGAATTCTTGTTCAGTGCTTCAAAGAGAGACAAAAGGAGGAGAGTCAGATGTTTCTGAGGACGTTGAGTTGCAGTGAAGTGAGAGGGGCAGAGGGGCTCGGGAAGTTGCCAGGTGGGGGAGAGGAGAAGCAGCGTGCCGGATGAATCACACTGTAGGACTCAAGCCAGTAGGTTCTTGCCAGCCCGGATGGTGACCTGGAGCCAGGCACTGATAGCAACGTGTCCTCTGAGGGAAGGCAAATGGGATGTCCAAGCAGGCACTGGGATCTGCCTGTGGTGCTCTTGTGGGGCCTGGTCCCTCGACCTAGGTGAGCTTGGGCCACTCAGAGTCACCCCAAGTGCCTCTTCCTTCATCTCCATTGTGGCAGGTGCAGGAACATTGTGATACTCAGAAAATGGACTCTCGTCTTGCACACAGATGCACCTGTGTTTCCTATTTTCCATTCCTCAGAGCTTTGGAGCCAGGAGGACCTGATTTGAATCCTGACTCTGCCAATATAATGACTATGCGGCTGTCGGTAACTTACTTATCTTCCATGAGACTCAGTTTTTTCATCTGCACAAAAGATTCCATAATATCTACCTTGCAGTATTATCTTGAGGATAAATGAAGTCTGCTTATAAAGTGAAAAGTCTGTTACACTGAAGAGAAATAAATGTTGATGTTCCTCCACTTCCCTGTCTGGTATGTGTAGAATATCCTCTTTTCTTTCTTTTTCTTCTTCTTCTTTTTTTTTTTTTTCTTTTGAGACAGAATCTCACTCTGTCACCCAGGCTGGAGTGCAGTGGTGCGATCTCAGCTCACTATAACCTCTCTCTCCTGAGCTCAAGTGATTCTCCTGCCTCAGCCTCCCAAGTAGCTGGGATTATAGGTGTGCACCACCACGCCTGGCTAATTTTTGTATTTTTAGTAGAGATGGGGTTTTGCCATGTTGGCCAGGCTGGTTTCAAACTCTTGACCTCAGGTGTGCCCACCTCGGCCTCCCAAAGTGCTGGGATTATAGGTGTGAACTACTGTGACTGGCCGATTATTTATTTATTTATTTAAAAATTTCTTTTTTGAGACAGAGTCTCTCTGTCACCCAGGCTGGAGTGCAATGGTGTGATCACAGCTCACTACAGTCTCAACCTCCTGAGCTCAAGCAATCCTCCTGCCTCAGCCTCCCAAATAGCTGGAACCATAGGCATACACCACCATTCCCGGCTAGTTTTTGTTTGCTTGTTTTTGAGACAGGGTCTCACTCTGTCACCCAGGCTGGAGTGCAGTGGCACAATCATGGCTCACAATCATTGTAGGCTCAAACTCCTGGGCTCAAGTGATTCTCCTGCCTCAGCCTCCCAAGTAGCTAGGACTACAAGCGCACGCCACCATGCCTGGTTAATTTTTGTATTTTTAGTAGAGATGGGGTTTCACCCTGTTGACCAGGCTGGTCTTGAACACCTGAGCTCAAGAGATCTGCCCACCTTAGCCTACCAAAGTGCTGGGATTACAGGTACATGCCACCATGCCTTGCTAGTTTCTAAATTTTTCCATAGAGACAGGGTCTCTGTATATCACTCAGTCTGGTCTTGAACTCCTAGGCTCAAACAATCCTCATGCCTCAGCTTCCCAAAGTGCTGGGATTACAGGCATGAGCCACCTCACCCAGCCTCAGATATCCTCTTTTCCTAGCAAAAGGCAAGGTAGTAAGGGATATTAGTTTTGAGCTTAGGTTCTGGAGTTAAGCATCTGATTTTGAATTCTGGCTTTGCCAGTTAAAAACTGTGTGATCCATGCTAGTTACTTAACTCTCCTAAGCCTAAAGTTCCTCAACTGTGAAATACAAATAAAGACCATACTCGCCTCACAGTGCCTACCACACAGTATGCCTATGATTATTATCAGGTGAAGTCAAACCAGATCTCCAATGCCCCTCATATTTTCCCCTGAGTCATCATTCCCAACTCTGACATGACAGGGCTGGTCCATCCTAGTCTTGCATATGTTCTGGAGCATTTTGAAGTTTGTTACTGTTGACAGGAGTTCTGTGATTAAGTTTCAGAAATGCTACATTAAACAAAGTTTAGCAAGTGTCTTCACTTCAGGCCTTTCAGAGGCTCTACCATATGCTAAGCTGCATATTAGATTGGTAGCATGCAGGACTTTCCCAAACCAAATGGGTCAAGGGACACTATTCTCCCAGGATTATTTCGTGGAACGAGCAAGAAGGAGCTGTCCATGGCGGTGGGTCCTGGTAGCACCCCGGGAAGCATGCTTGATTTCCTGCAGCCCCTCTGCTGGGCCAGAGCCCGGAGGCTAGGTGACTTACCCATAATAGAGACAGAAGGGAAGTCCAGGAGGTTCACAGAGGAGTTGCTTCTCAGGCTCCTGTCATCTCGGAGCTTCTCCTCAGGTGGCAGGTGGCTGTAGGCAGTGAAGAAGCAGAGGAAGACCAGCAGGGTGGCCAGGAGTAAGCGGGTGACATCCATCCCAGGAGGCCTGAGTGGGACAGAGAAGGTGGTCAGATGGGTGGGTCGGGGTAATGGTAAGAGGCCTTCCTGCTTTCTTTGTGCTTCTTTGGGCTGGTGTTGTGACTGTGTTAGGCAAGTGTCCTGGTGGAGTCGGAGGGTTAGCAAGGCCTAGGATGGGGAAGGGGAATTGATGAGGGAAGAAGAGAGAAGAGAGATGGGAAGAGGAAGAAAGACTAGGAACAGAAGGAGATTGGAGCAAAGATAAAAGGAATGCATTGCACTGGTCTCTGCTGTCCAGAGGGTGGTGTGTTGGCTGCTTCTGGTTTTTTTAATGTCTGTGGCCCCAGGAGACCCTAGGCCTGGGCAGAGTTGTTGAAGGGCCCCCAGTAGGGCCTCACAGTAGCAGAGGTTTTATTAAGGTGCACAGAATAAGGCTAATAAATTAAGAATCAGTGAGAAAGATGCAGAGGTAAGTGGCTCCTTCAGACAAGCATATATGTTGGCTCATACCCTAGATTCCCAAACCCAGAGAGAACGAATGCAGGTATAGTTTGTGGCAGGAGGATGGACCTGTCAACATAGGCCACCTGGATTTATGTATTTATTTATTTGCTAGCTGGAATTTTTTTTTTTTTTTTAAGACGGAGTCTCACTCTTGTTGCCCAGGCTGGAGTGCAGTGGCACAGTCTCAGCTCACTACAACCTCCACCTCCCAGGTACAAGCAATTCTCCTACCTCAGCCTCCTGAGTAGCTAGGGCTACAGGCACCCACCACTAAGCCAGGCTAATTTTTGTATTTTTTGGTAGAGACGGGGTTTTACCACTTTGGCCAGGCTAAGCATTTTATATTTTCTAACTCTTTTTATTTTTTTTGAGACAGAGTCTTGCTCTGTCAGCCAGACTAGAGTGCAGTGGCACGATCTTGGCCCACTGCAACCTCTGCCTCCCAGCTTCAAGCGATTCTTCTTCCTCAGCCTCTGGAGTAGCTGGGATTACAGGTGCCCACCACCACACCTGGCTAATTTTTGTATTTTTAGTAGAGATGGGGTTTCACCATGTTGGCCAGGCTGGTCTCAAACTCCTGGCCTGAAGTGATCTGCCAGCCACTGCCACTGCACCTGGCCTATATTTTCTAACTCAAGCTCGTATAGTTTTTTTTTCTGTTGTCATTGTTTGTTTTGAGACAGAGTCTCGCCCTGTCACCCAGGCTGGAGTGCAGTGGCACGATCTTGGGCCACTGCAGCCTCAACCTCCCACGTTCAAGCCATCCTCCCACCTCATCTTCCTGAGTAGCTGGCACTACAGGCATGTACCCACATGCCTGGCTAATTAAATTTTTTTTTTTTTTTTGTAGAGATGAGGGCTCACTCTATTACCCAAGTTGGCCTTGAGCTCCTGGGCTCAAGTGATCCTCCCACCTCAGCCTCCCAAAGTGAGCCACCACTTGGCCATATTTGTTCATTTGTGTGTATATATTTTATATATATATGGCATTCCCCTTCTAGGATATTAACTCCTGAATGACAGGAGCTCTCCACCATCCTTTCCAGCTTTATATTTTCTCACAGGAAGCAATGAATTCTGACCAAGCTTGGCTACTTCCTGGTCCCCATATGATGCTTGTCCTTTCCCACCAATTGCAATGCTTAGCTTGCTATACAAACATTTATTTACTTATCATTTGTCAATGGTCATCAAAGCCCTTAGTGACTACGGTACTCATTTGCCCTTCTCACATTTCATATGGCATTTATCCAGTCTGGGAAGTAAAAACAGTTTTAACATTTTAAAATGATGCTATTAAAAAAAAAAAGAATATCCAACGGAGACCCTATATGGTCCACAAAGCATAAAATATTTACTATCTGGCCTTTTACAGAAAAAGTTTGCCAACCCCATCTAGATTGTAAGAATCATGACGGATTGGAACAAGAACATCATGTTTGCTCCATCAATATCTATTAACCAATGGACCACTTAACTATTTCTTTTCTTTTTTAAGATGGAATCTCACTCTGTTGTCCAGCCTGGAGTGCGGTGGTGTGATCTTGGCTCACTGCAACCTCCGCCTCCTGGATTCAAGTAATTCTTCTGCTTCAGCCTCCCGAGTAGCTGGGACTACAGGTGCCCACCACCACGCCCGGCTAATTTTTGTATTTTTTGTAGAGACAAGGTTTCACCATGTTGGCCAAGCTGGTCTCAAACTCCTGACCTCAAGTGATCCGCCTGCCTTGGCCTCCCAAAGTGCTGGGGCTACAGGTGTGAGCCACTGCACCCAGTCCAACTATTTCTTCAGGTGAAGATATTGATGACATTTATTAAAAGGCTAATGTGCCGATAATATTTCTCATTAATTTATCAGATTTCAGATTTGTTTTAGTACAGGACTGGGTCCTAGTGAGACAAGAGCTAGGACTGGTAAGCTTGGATTGTGGATGCAGAGGAAAAATCTACATCATGAATAGTTATCATAATGTTTTGAAACATTATTATACCATGCTGTCTAGAATTCATAAAGATTCAATACAGTAACATTTGGAATATAAATATGAAATATTTGTAAACTAGATAATATTTTAGTTACATAAAATTAAATATATATTTAAAATTTTTATTCTGTATCATTGACCTCTTCCAAAAGCAATATTGTATTTAATTTTTAGCTTCTGATTGTTGCTAAAAAGACCATTTTTCAAATATAGCATCTAGCTTTAATGGGTATTAATTAGGAAGGCAAATCAGAAATAAATTCAACCCGGCTGGGCCAGTGGCTCACGCCTGTAATCCCAGCACTTTGGGAGGCCGCAGCGGATGGATCACCTGAGGTCAGGATTTCGAGACCAGCCTGGCCAACATGGCGAAACCCCGTTTCTACTAAAAATACAAAAATTAGCTAGGCGGTGGCCTCCTGAGTAGGTAGGTGCCTATAAGTCTACCTACTCAGGAGGCTGAGGCAGGAGAATTGCCTGAACCCAGGGCTAGGAGGTTGCAGTGAGCTGAGATCATGCCACTTCACTCCAGCGTGGGTGAAAGAAACTGTCTCCAAAAAAAAAAAAAAAAAAAAAGAAAGAAAGAAAGAAATTCAACTTTAAAAAACAAGGAAAGTAAAGGATGAGGATGTGGTGGAATGTGGTAGGGAGAAGCTCTGATTAACAAAAGGCTCTTAGCCAGGAGTGGTGGCACAAGATTGTGGTCCCAGCTACTCGGGTGGCTGAGGTGGGAGAATCACCTGACCCCAGGAAGTTGAGGCTACAGTGAGCCATGATTGTGCCATTGCACTCCAGCCTGGGCGACAGAGTGATACTCTGTCTCAAAAACAAGAACAAATAAGCTCGATTAAGGCAAGTTACAAGAGGCATGTTATTAATTGGGAGGCGGTATGTGCAGTTATTTTATGTCTTTGGGTTTTCCTTACCATAAATAATATACTCATGGGCCAAAAACTGTAATGGGAATTTCTGCAAAGAAGTGAGAGTGGCCAGAAAATCTGAATTAGAAAAAGAGGCCAGGCATGGTGGCTAACGCTCTGTGGGGTTTTTCTCCTCATGTGCGGAGACGAGAGATCGTAGAAATAAAGACACAAGACAAAGAGATAGAAGAAAAGACAGCTGGGTCTGGGGGACCACTACCACCAAGGCGCAGAGACTGGTAGTGGCCCTGAATGCCTGGCTGCGCTGTTATTTATGGGATACAAGACAAGGGGGCAGGGTAAGGAGTGTGGGCCATCTCCAATGATAGGTAAGGTCACACGAGTCATGTGTCCACCAGACAGGGGGCCCTTCCCTGTTTGGCAGCCGAGGCAGAGAGACAGAGAGGACAGCTTGTGCCATTATTTCTTCTATACATTTCAAAGACTTTAGTACTTTCACTAATTCTGCTACTGCTATCTAGAAGGTGGAGCCAGGTGTACAGGGTGGAATATGAAAGCAGACCAGGAGCATGACCACTGAAGCACAGCATCACAGGGAGATAGTCAGTCCTCCGGATGGCTGTGGGCAGGCCTGACTGATGTCAGGCCTTCCACAAGAGATGGTGGAGCAGAGTCTTCTTTAACTCCCCCGGGGAAAGGGAGAGTCCCTTTCCCAGTCTGCTGAGTAACTGGTGCCTTCCCCAGGCACTGACGCTATCACTAGACCAAGGACCGCTAGGTAACAGGTGCCTTCCCAGGCGCTGGCATTACTGCTAGACCAGGGAGCCCTCTAGTGGCTTTGTCCAGGTGTGACAGAGGGCTTATACTCTTGTCTTCTGGTCACTTTCTCACCGTGTCCCTTCAGCTCCTATCTCTGTATGGCCTGGTTTTTCCTAGGTTATAATTGTAGAACAAAGATTATCATAATATTGGAATAAAGAGTAATGCTACAAACTAATGATTAATGATATTCATATATAATCATATCTATAATCTATTTCTAGTGTAACTATTCTTATTCTATATATTTTCTTTATTATACTGGAACAGCTTGTGCCCTCAGTCTCTTGCCATGGCACCTGAGTGGCTGGGACCACAGGTGTGTACTATCACACCTGTGGGTGGCCAGCCACTTGGGAGGGTGAGGTGGGAGGGAGGATTGCTTGAACCTGGGAGGTTGAGGCTGTAGTGAGCTGTGATCGTACCAGAAAAGAAAAGAAGAAAGAAAAAGGTGGCAGGAGTTTGGGGAAGATTAACTTAGACCCAGGAACAGGATTGAGAATGAGGGGACTGAATCAACAGTCCAATTCAGTATTACAAATCTAAGGAGTAGTGGGACAGCTCATGACCAGAGGCCAATATCCATGGGACCAAAGTCCACACTGATCACTTGCTATGAACACTTGATAATGTAGGTACAAGCTCACTTCACCATCAGAGCAGCCACAAGCCTAATGTAAACACTAGTCACTGCACAATGGGCAGGCAGGAGATCTCACCAGGTCAAATCCCCAGCCTAACTCAGGACAAGTGAATCCTAGGGGTTAGTTTAAGACAGACCAACCCCTGGCAAAACAGTTCTCCTGGTAGAACCATACAATTGGACTGAGTCTTGGATT